CCCTATCCACTCTCCAGCCCTGGATTCACCCCTTTAGGTTTCTATTTTTGTACCCTCAAACTCAAAGCCATTGAAGAGGATTCCAGTTTGAGTCCCAGGAAGATGCTAAAACTGATGTGTCGATGTGGTGTAAATCGAAGAACAAGGGGGTTTTCAGTAAAGGTTTTAAAAAAACCAAAACACAAAGCCAAATCCACTGCCATCAAATCAGTACTGAGCCACGGTGGTGTAGTGGCTACGGGATGGGATGCAGGGGCCTCAGTTTGAAACCACAGCTGCTCCACTGGCATTCGAGTCCCTTCGCTAGAGTCTCAGAAACTCACATGTCGATGCTGTCTATAGAGGCATGATGAGTCAAGGGCTAGAGAGGTGGAATGGCCCCTCCGGCAGTGTGCAAACCTAAATAGAGGATATGTCTGGAAACAAGGGCTTCATACTTTGACATTTGTGTTGAATAAAGTTTTCTATGATTTTACAGCAACGCCTCTTGACTAACCCTCATATAATCCAGACCGTCCTTTCCTGCTGCTTTGTACTTTTGCCACCAACCTATAAGAGAACCTTGAACGTAACCCAGTGAGATCTTTTAGGGCAGCGGTTCTCAACTTGTAGGTTGTGACCCCTTTGGGGGTTGAACAGTCATTTCACAGGGGTCGCCTGCGACCATCGGAAAACAAATATTTCGCAATATATAATTAGCGTCTTGTTTTGTGATTAATCACTATGCTTTAGTTATGCTTAATTATGTTCACTTTGAAACAGTGAAAATACATCCTGCATATCAGATATTTACATTACAATTCATAACAGCAAAATTACAGTTATGAAATAACAACGAACACAATGTTATGGTTGGGGGCCACCACCACAGGAGGAACTGTCTTCAAGGGTCGTGGCATTAGGAAGGTTGAGAAGCACTGGTGTCCGGCCCTCTGCAGCTCGTCTTCCATGGAGTCAGTGCTGCAGGAGAAGCGCCTCCCATGCTTGCGCAACACTGCACAGTGCCTCCCAGCTAGTCTGTGCCGCAGGAAGTTCCCCGAGCACTGACTTGATCTGAATGCAGGCATACAGCCCACGCCTGCTTTTTCACCTGAGGGAAATGTTGGATGAGGACTTTTTAAAGTGAAATACAGAGGCGTTAGGAGAAGGGAATACTTGATGACTGTGTTCTTAATAATATTTTGAAATGATGCCCTTTTGTGAGTATGGCCCAGGAAACAAGATAATATTACCCGGAAGGCATGAAAGATGGAGACTGGAAATGGGACCCATTGTTACCTTTCTGGAACATGGCATGATATCTGGCATTAGGGGACTTTGAATATTTACTAATTGAAATATAAATTTCTCGGGATAATCAACGTTGTTCATAGGGTCTCAATGAGTTGGAATCAACTCAATAACAACAACATCAATGTTGTTTTATCTAACTATACAATAGGACGTGTTTATCTGTGACCACTTTATAATCGTCTCCACTTTATAATGGTTTCTGATGACGATGATGATTATTTTTGTGAAACTAAAATTATACTGAAGATAAAGGATAAAAATCCATTTACCAGGCTCTATTACCATATTTATGTACTCCGTGATGATCCAATCAGAGGATCTCATTTGCACTTGGATTTCTCAGATAATTTGAAACTCCCATTAACAAGTGCACGCTTATACTCATTCTGAGACTTCTTGGTAGAGCTTGCTAATTGCTTCCCTGCACTCTGACTCCCAGACCACAGTGAATCCCATTATAAAAGCAAATCACTGCAAACTCCAGACAGCATGCATGCTCAAGGTGCCACTATTAAAGGACTCACAGCAGTGGGGCAGCTTTGATGTTATCAGACATGATGGAAAATACACACTTGTATTTGAGTAAGTCCAGTAGTAAGAAGTATTTCCTCCACTACATATCTGAAACCAATTTCAAATTCCCAAACACTCTTCAAAGCAGTTCCCCTTGGAAGTGGTGTTGATGGCATTTCAAATTTCAAGGCAGCTTGCTTTTCTGTCTTGAGACTTCAAGCAGATTTGAAATTTCACTTTCAAAGAGAAACGATTTTACCCACATTTACCTAAACCATGAGGCTCCAGTTTGATGAACAAAGCGGCATAGGAAATGAACTTACCTACGGTAATGAAAGATGCTATACCAGCTCAGAGTCTAAAGCATGCAGGTGATGCTAGGGATTCTGAGCTGGAAGTGTTTAAATACTGTGTTTCAGTTCTTCCTTGTTCGTATGCTGTTGACCAAAAGATGGAATGTAAACTTTGGACCAGGGATAGAACAACTGTACAGAACTTGTAATTAATCCTCCTCCTTCTGAATGGAGCTTCTGTGTAGCTGGACACAAAACCAGTGTGTGCTTGACTCCAGCGCCAGCAGGGAGGCCTAAGCCACACAATTCAGAACATTCATACTATGAATAATCTCTGTAGCAAGGGGGAAGGCGTGTGGCTTCTTAAAAGGCTTCAGATTTGTGGTCAGTAGAAGCAGCCCTGAGCCTGTTGGTCTCAAGGCTACAGTGGACTGAGTGAAGTTCCCCCTAGCATTTAATTAGGTTTCCTGTAAAGGCTCTAAGGTAAAAGGGCTGGGGGGGTGGGGGGTGGGGGTGAAACCTGAGGTTGTCTGTGGTTTTACTATCCTGAGTGCATTGGTTGCTGCTCTGCGTTTCAGAAAACACCATTATGGTCCTAAGGAAATCCACATGGCAGGTTTATCAGCCTTTTGGTGACTGTGAATTGACTGCAGCGCCCTTAAAAGAAGAATTTTGTTACCATTTACTAAATGTCTGCGTGAAGAAGGAAGGTAAAAGCAAGAAAAAGAAGCAAAAGCATGAAGCATTGAGAAGGGGGAAGAGGGCATGGAGCAGAGAGAGGTGGGTAGGGAGGAAGGAAGATGGAGCTTTGCTCGATATGGCCACAGCTTCCTAGATCTGGGAACTGGGAGAAGCGTTGCAGTGAGAGGAGAATGAGAGAGCTGAGCTGAGACCAGTGAACAGGAAGAAACGTGATGTGATTCGTTCACAGGTTAGAATTGCTGCTTCGGAGATGGCTAGATTCATTGGGCATTGGCTAGAAAATTAGACTTACCACCGTTTCGTGGAGGAGTGAGAAATTGGGGTATCTTCTTTTTACACTGGCTACTGTATAGATATAAACATGATTCATAACTTTAATGCAAGATATAAAGCAACTGAACGGTGCTCTGAATGGTAGAAGTAGAAGTTCCTAGGTGGTGCAAATGGTGAAGCACTTGGCTTCCAATCAAAAGGTTTCGGAATCCAATGCCCCAGAGATGCCTCAGGAAAAGGGCATCGTCTTAGTGATCTCCGTCCAAAAGCTCCCTGCGGTGAAGCACTTGGCAATACCCTGCGTCGCCATGGTCAAAACCAACGCAGGGACGATGACTGGTGAAAAGTCTGCCTGTAGTGAATGATGGGGGGAGTGCGGAGTGGAGATCCAAAGCCCATTAGTAGGCCACTGGAGATCCCCTTGCAGAGGGGTCT